CTGCCAAAGAGCTTACTTGCAAAGATAAAAGGGAGGAGCAGAAGGGAAATGTCTCCATTTTCCTGAAGTTCACACTTTAACTACCTGTAAAGTCTGTCACAATTTTTCTCATTTGCAGATTGTGTACTGCTGTCAGATAACTGCTATTTCAGTCCTTACAAATAGGGTTTCATGAGGATAGCCAAACTACTGGGGGGACAAAATGGAACCTATTCTGGTTGCAGACTCAGTTTGTAAGCTTCTGATTCTGGATTCCAATCCCAACTGAAACAGAGTTCAGAGACTCTTGGAGAGATTTCAAAGCCATATTTGTCAGCCTCTGCCTATTTCTCCTCATTCTCACCGTCTCTACAGCATTTGGTGCTTCTGACCACACCCTCCTTGAAACCATCTCCTCCTTTGGCTCCCATCATGCCTCTAGCTCATTTATTTCATCTCTGGTCTATCAGCAGGAACTCCCTATTCAGAGTTGTTCTTTTTACATTTCGGTCCTGAGCCACTTTTTCTTTCTGTTCTACACTACTGGGTCTGAGCTGGGGATAGGTATCAGAATATCCCACGGAACCTATTTAAAACTTGGAAGCATAATGGCCATAATTTGAAAAAGTTCCTCAGGTGACTTGGATGGACATTCCTGTAGCAGTTAGTATTTTCCAAAGATGATCCTCAATATTTCCCATCCGACATGCCCTTCCCCAGTGTGACTGTGCCATTTTCCCCATCAAGAGGTAGAATCTATTTCTCAACCTCTTGAATGTGGTTAGGTCCTGTAAAATGTAATAGAAGTGACACTGCCAGTTCTGGGCATGGCCCTTTACTGACCTGGTAACTTTAACTTCTGCCACTTGTAAGAAATGTGATTAGATATCCTGAGACCACCATGACAGGAGAAACCCAAGCCATACGGAGCAGCTCAAAGTATAAGACCCCATGTGTAGAACACTGAGGCACTCTGTGTAAATAAGGAACCATCTTGAAAGTGGATCCTCTAGGCCCAGCCACTACAGCTAAAACCATGTGGAACAAAACTATCTAGCCTAGTCCTTCCCAGATTCCTGACCTACAAAATCATCAGCAAAATAAATGATTGTGTTAAACCATTAAGTTTGGGGGTAGCTGTTACTCAATAAGAGGTAAATCAGACAGATCCCCCTCTTCCCATGCATACACACAACCCTGTTAAGATCTATTGCCCTAGGACTTCCCTGGTGGTGTAGTGGTTAAGAATTCGCCTGTCAATGCAGGGGACATGGGTTCGAGCCCTGGTCCAGGAAGGTCCCACATGCCGCGGAGCAACTAAGCCCGCGGGCCACAACTACTGAGCCCGTGCTCTAGAGGCCATGAGCCACAACTACTCAGCCTGTGAGCCACAACTACTAAAGCCTGTGTGCCTAGAGCCCGTACTCTGCAACAAGAGAAGCCACCACAATGAGAAGCCCGTGCACCGCAATGAAGAGTAGCCCCTGCTCGCTGCAACTAGAGAAATCCCATGCGCAGCAACGAAGACCCAACGCAGCCAAAAATAAATAAATAAATAATTTGTATTAAAAAGAAAATCACTTCTATAATACCTGCTGTATGCCAGGCAATGAATAAAGACCATAAACACAAAGGCGTGTTATCGGGTCTGTCTTGAGTGGCTTAAAGTTATGGTAGACAGACATATACTAAGATGTATGCTACAAAAGACTTTCACCTCTATCCTTACTTTACTCTTCTCCATTTTAGAGTTGCTTGAGAAAAAAAAGAAAAAAATAGATAAAAAGGGGATTCCCTGGCGGGACTCGGCATTCTCATTGTTGGGGCCCCCAGTTCGATTCCTGGTCCAGGGATTAAGATCCCACAAGCTACGCAGCAGAGCCAAAAAAAAAAAAAAGAAAAGAAAAAGAAGAAAGAGTTGGTTGACAGTTCTATTTCAGTACAAAATTCTTAGGGGCCAAGGTCATGTCTTATTTATCATAGCCCACAATTAGCACTTGGCTTTGCTCCATATATTCTCGGATAATGGTTATTAGATTTTATCAGATGTACTAGTTATAAAAAGAGCAACCATTTATTGGCCCTTTACATGGAACACTGCTAACATCATGATGTTGGATGGGAAGTACACATGTAGAGCTGTGGCAAAGACTGCTGTGAGTTCACTTTACCCCAGTTCCTTTTCTTACTGGGCACTCAGCTAGACTGCTTTTCCTAGCCTTCCCTGCAGTTAGGTGTGACCATATGACTGAATTCTGGCCAATAAAATGTGGGCAGGAAGTGATATGTATCTAAGCCTGGTCTACAAAAACTTTCTGCTTAATATTCCACTCTTCCAATCTCTCTCTTTTCCTCCTGCAGTTTAATGGAGAAGCCTGAAGATCTAGAAGAGGTGGCACTACAAAAAGGAAAGAACCTGGATCCCTGAGATACTATTTGGGGCATCACTGGCTAACCAAGAATACTTGCGTTACACTATTGCATGAGTCAGCAATAAACTTTTATTATGTAAAGCTTCTGGAAGTTGAAGACTGCTTACTACAGTTGTCAGTTTGAACTTGCCTAATTCAAATGCTAAGTTTAATGCAACCTTCCTAGATTGATCATGACTACCTACTTTTCAAAAGAGTATCCAGTAGATTCCAAAATTGCATTTATTATTCTCGTTTAAGCATGAGCTCTCTCATCTCCATGATCAGAAATAATGGCTTGTTCAATCTTTTATTTTTGCAGTCTTCGAAATATATATGAGTGGTAACAAAACCAAAGAGCTAATCAACCTCTCCCAAAATATACTTTAATAAGCCCAGCAAAAACTCTTTGGTGTAGAATATGAAAAGTTCAGGGATCCCTGGGCCTGGTTAGGGCCAGGCTAACCAGGCGGCTGTCTACAGAGGCTGCATAGGATGGGGTGATTGATGTTCAGGCCTGTGAATGCTGGGAAAGAAACAGAGAGGACTAAGCTTTGACTTCCTTGATGCCTTAGAGCCAGTTTGGCACTTGTCACAACTCAGTGATTTGTATTCATGTGACAACCTTACCACTTCCTGTTTTGATCCAAAAAAAGAATTCTAGGAGAGAAATGAGGCCACAAAACTGAAGAAGGCCCAGTGTGTCCTTTTTATCTTCCATTTACTCAACATACATTTACTGTGCACCTATTATGTTCACAACTGTGTGTGTGTGTTTGGAAGGGCGGAATTCAAATAAACATAATAAACAGATCTGCTTCCAGGGAGATGTTTAGACTGATGGGATTTGACAAGGCAAGCAGCTGTTTGAAAGACAGTGTAGAGTAGAAAGTTCACTGACTCTGATGAGAGAGACTCAGGTTCAAAATCTGGCATATAATTGGCACAAACAAGAAAAACTGGATAAGTATGGAGGAGGAAAATTACATTGGGCTTGAATGGACAAAATAAGTCATTAATTTTTCTTAATCAAGGCTTCCTTTTAGAACATTTCTCAGTCCTAATCTAATATGGATGCCAAATCTGTCTAATTCACAACCAGGCATCAACAAGAAAGATACAAATGGAGAGAGGAATTCATTGTTCCAGAAGAGAAGTTCCTGTATTGGATGAAAAATTCACAGCAGGCATTGCTGACTCATATATACACATTTGTGTGTGTGTGCGTGTGTGTGTATAATAGGCATGCTACATACGTGAGAGATAAGTCATAAAAATTGTTCACATATTCAGGAACAAAGAGTTATGATATAATTTCTGAAATTACAGAGATCCAGAATTAGAAGAGGATCTTTCAATCCAAACCATTTATCTTACAATTGAGGAGACAGACTCAAATAGGTGAAATGACTTGGTGAAGGCCACACAACTATGAAATCGTCAAGCCAGGACCTGACCTGGATTTCTGGCCCAATGCCCTTACCACTAACTCCTTTCTAGTCAAGGCATAAGGAGCTATTCCATAAAGTCACTGGGTAGAGCTTCCTGGAGGTCTTAGTTCCAGGGAGTGAAGACTTCCCACTGAAAATTTCCCAGTATTATGGACAGAGGTCTGGCTTGAACTAAACTGTATTAAGGGAGTCCACAAGATAGTTAAGCATACTTAAAACAGCCCTCATTTATTGAATACTTGCTATGTGTCAGGCACTGTGCCGAATGTTTTATATATATATATATATATATATATATTTATTTATTTATTTCATTTATTCATTCGCTTAAATTTTTATTTGTATGCCAGGAATCTATGCTATGTGCTAGGATCCAATAGTGAAAAGACATACATGGTTCTTGACCTTATGGAACCTCTAGACTTCCACATAACAGAAATTCCATAAGGTCTGCTTGTTTACTGCATCCATTTACAGGTGATGAAATGGGCCCAGAGAATAACAATGATGGCTACCATATATTGTCCACCTACCCCACACCAAACACTTTTCCAAGCACTCTCTGAGTTAATCTGTACAACAGTTCTACGAGATAAGAAACAGGGGCATAGGAAGCTGAACGTCTGGTTCAAGGTCACGTAGGTAATAAGCAGTAGAACATGGACTGGAACCAAGGTTGTCTGGTGCCAGTGTCCATGATTTTAACCACTACATTACACTGACCAGTTGGATTCCTGCTATGCACGCTAAAAGATGGTATTACCTGATGTCAAAACTCTGCTAGTGAGACCTAGGACCCAAGAAGCATCAATTACTTTGTCTACAGGCAAATTTTGTTTTCAGCAGTTGTATGTAGATAATAATATTTGCTTGAGTGCTTACCATATGTCAGAGTACTGCACCTGTACATATGATATCCAGGTAAAACACAAGCATAATACTGGCCTTTAGTAGATCCTCAATATAGTAGGCAAATGGTAAGCAGTAAGAATAAATATGTAAGGCTAGAGAAAACCTAGAAATTATTAAGAAGTAGAGGGTGCTGGCTGCAATTGTGCTGGATCTGCATTTGGACAAAAATATGTTTGTATTTTTTCAAGACTGTGCTTGCTTTATTTAGATATAGAGATAACAAATATCTACATAAATCTTCACTCACCTGTTAGAGGGAGATTTCCGCAGAAATAATTTCTCCAGCCATAAAATTTATTGTGTACTGTGATTTACTCATCTGTTTAAGGCATCCTGTTGCAAGGCATGGACACACTCCTTGAAAATAAAAACACAAACTTGAATGATTTTCGGTTTCACATAAATTCTATTAAAGAAGAATAAAACAGTGAAATCACAGAATTTCTCCATTCTCTTCCACCATGTGTTTCTTTGAGGTTTAATAATATTATAAATAAAGCAGCTTCAAGATTAAATACAAAACAGTGAACAACTTAGAAACATTTTGAAGAAGCAAGTATTATATCCCAGTGTTGCCAGGCTTTCAACAAAAGTAAGATAGAAAACAGAGCGAGAACTCTCATTTGTTCTATCAAGAAAGCATAAATATTGGCTCCGTATTAAGCCAACCTCTTGCAGCTGTACACCAGCTCTCAACTATTAAAAAGATTCTTAAATTCCCAGGGAAACAAAAATCAATTTCATCCATATAAGTCTGTATATAAATCTATTGTGCTTTATTCCAAATATTTTCTCATCAAGGAATTTGGAACGAAATTTTTTTTGAAAGAGAAAGTCTCCATTTCACCCATTACACCATTATAAATATTTGAATGACTTCCAGTAACTTTGCTTAGAAAATCTCAATGTCTGTATAACATGCCAATGACAGCTCAGCAGTAATGTCAATACATTTCATTACCTGGCAAGACAATCATTCATAGCAATAGATTGGAATTCTGATTGCCCTTTACATATATTGTATTTCACTTTTGTCACAGCACACCGGATGGTTACTCTTGCCCTCTTGGCAAGATACTCTTTCTGAGCTTATACTAAAAATCTCTTTTATCTCTTAAAGCTTAGAATGAGCTAAGTGATTACTGTTTTAGTCCTAAACCAATATGTGTAGTCAGGTCTTGAAAGAATTCCAATCACTGTAGCCCTTGTTCATATTTTAGATGGATAATAATGCCATTGGGTTGTTTTCCTTGGGGCTCATTTTATATATTCTATTTGTAGGAATTAAGGTTTCTAGTCCAGTGACTATTGTTCACATAATTCAAACAAAGAAAGGAATGTGATATTAATTTTCTGGGTTTTGTAAGAAACTGCACTGGAAAAGTGAAATATAAATATTTGCTAAAGTTTGGAGAAATAGAGTAGAATAGAGATGTACTTCTCAAAATTCAGTGTGCATTAGAATCTCCTGGAGAGCCGGTTAAAACAGATTCCTAGGTCCCACAGCCAGTGATTCTGATTCAGTAAGCCTGTGTGGAGTTCGGGACTGATTTCCAGCAAGTTCCCAGGTGATGTTCATGTTGCCAGTTCATGGACCATCTTTTGAGGAGCAGTGGAACAAAACGGAGTGGTCAATAGCAAAGGCTAAAATCGTGCCTTTGCCATTTACAGGTTTGTTGATTTGGAGTAATCAATTAAGGAGTAATTTATTTAACATATTTTTAAGCCTTAGTTTCCTCATCTGCTCAATGGGGGTTTTGTAAGGATTAGATAAGTCTGTTCGTCACTTGACATAGTGCTAGACAGGTACCTGGTATGTGCTAAATAAATGGCAACCATGGTTATTAGAAATGATGAAGTCTTCTTTTCCGGGATCCACCTGGTTGAATATGTAGTTCTTCTGTTCCATATCCTAGTGTGTTTGGCAAATTATTTGTTAAGTATGTCTAGATTAGGAGTTATCAGATCGATGCATTAGCAACTATTCAGGATTTGAATTGCTAAGGTGGGACCTAAAACAGTTAAATATTTTGATCCCTGGGCCTTCCAACCAAATACCATGCTGAAGCTCTGATTCTCTGTACTTTGAATTATTTTTCATTTAAATTTCTTTATAGTCCACATCTCCACAGTTATGTCTCCTTATGAATGATCTTTAAAGAACAACATCAGTTTATTTTCAAAATCAAACTCAAGTCTTTGGAGACTAATATCCTTTCTCTCCATATTTTGCTATTAAGAGGCCTGGTGTTCTGCCAAGGCAACGTATTAATAAATTTAAGCTTGAGGTTTTCATTGTCATGTGAACGTTGAAATTGGCTCTCAATTACACAAAGCAGCCAGTTCAACAGAGTACGTGTATTGGATTTACAACGAACATGTCTGGGAAAAAATTAGTTTAAAATCCTTGATTTTGTGGTTTGCTTTTAATTTGTTAAATAGGCATAATCCACCAGTCATAAGCATCTCAGCCAATTCAGGCTAAGTTAATTCTGAGAAATATATGTTTACTTTAGTCAAATGTTAACAAATTAATTTGTCTTGCATCCAATCATTTATTTAGTTTTTCACTTAACACTAAGTCCCATTTCTGTGGTAGGTGATGGTCTAGATGCTGGGGAAAACACGTACCCCATCCTCCCAGAGTTTATAGTCTAGTGAGAAAGGTAAAAGCACAGTTATCAGAACCTCGTTTTAACAGGCTGATAAATCTCCAGTCTTTACCAGTTAACAAGCTGTAGAAAGTTTCAGCCCATTGTTTGTGTTTCTATGCAATTACTCATCAATCTGTTAGCCATTATCCAAAGCTTCAGATACACTGGATGATGTCTTCTAAAAGTAGAATACTTCCAGAGCTTCTAACCAAAGGAGAACTTTACATTTCTGGTTTTCTTTCTTCTTTTTTTTTTTGGAAAATGAATGTAGAGAAAGCAAATCAAGTCAGTTTTGTAGCTTGCAACTAGCTGTTATGTAAACTCTCGAGTAAAATGACATGAGTGAAGACAAATACCAATCTGTATATCAAACTTCATTTTTTGAGCTTTTCAAAAGATGCAGGGGGACTTCCCTGGTGGTGCAGTGGTTAAGAATCTGCCTGCCAATGCAGGGGACACGGGTTCGATCCCTGGTCTGGGAAGATCCCACAAGCCGTGGAGCAACTAAGCCCTGTGGGCCACAACTACTGAGCCTGCGCTCTAGAGCCCACGAGCCACAACTACTGAGCCTGCACGCCTAGAGTCCATGCTCCGCAACAAGAGAAGCCACCACAATGGAAGCCCACGCACTGCAATGAAGAGTAGCCCACGCTCACCACAACTAGAGAAAGCCCGCACGCAGCAACGAAGACCCAATGCAGCCCCCACCCCCAAAAAAATTAAAAGATGCAGGGATTTACATTCATATGACCTGTTTTGGACTGAATGTTGGGTCCCCATCCACAACCCCCTACCCTTGCCAAATTTATATGTTTAAGGCCTAACCTCCAATGTGATGGTATTTGGAGATGGGGCTTTGGGGAGGTAATTAGAGTTAGATGAGGTCATGAGGGTGGGCACTTCATGATGGGATTAGTGTCCTTATAAGAAGAGACACCAGAGAGCTTTCTCTCACTGCCCCATGTAAGGACACAGCCCGAACGTAGCTGTCTGCAAGGCAGGAAGCGGCCCTCACCAGAATCCAAATTGGCTTCTACCTTGATCTTGGACTTCCCAGCCTCTAGAACTGTGAGAATAAATTTTTTTGTTTAAGCCACCCAGTCTATGGTATTTTGTTATGGCAGCCTGAGCAGACTAAGACGTGATTTTAGAAAGATGACAGGGATTTGTACAAAACGGTGGAATGCTTCAAACTTATCTCATATTATTCCCAAGCAGGGCCCTCAGCCTCAGTCTGCCAGGTGGGCTCTTGACAATCGCCAGCACACAATTTACTCTCTCTCGCCTCTGGTCTGCATTCCTCTTTGTGCTGTTTTCTTTACCCTAAATCTTCCATTTCTGGCTCAGAGTCTCATATCTAAGAAATCTTGATTAGCTCTAGTCAAGAAGGATCAAGTCCCAAATGACCCTTCATTGCAAAGTTTGTTTCACAATACACTTATTTGCATTTCTCTATTGTGTCCTTATGTTGGTTCAAGGATGTAGGTCTTATCTCCTCAACAAGACCTTGAGCATCTCCAAGACAAGCCTAGGGTCTAGACTTTTCAAATCTTTTGTGTCCTCCACTGGCCCTTGCAGAATGTGCAAATAGAATGGGAATAAAACTTATTGAATGAAAATTGAACTAGATGCAAGAGCCAACGAATGTTCTGAGGCAAATGAATCAAGTAATGCGAGGAAGTACAATAAAATCCTGGCTCCAGAGCCTGCGGGTGGGGGTCGGAGAGAGTCGTTCTGGATAAGTGAGTTTAATAGATGGCTGAGTTTTAATTATCTTGAATGGAAACATTTCCAATATATTAATCTTCCCTGCCTTCTAAAATAGTGCATTATAAACATAATCCAGCTTGATGACTTGAGGCTGTCATTAAAAGTACTATTGTGCTATAACACTGAGAAGCCCTACGGCCCTTTGGAGGTATGCAGAACTGTTTGTCCCTATTCTAAATGGCTGCAGATTGCTGGGTTTCTTTTTTTAATTGTTGTTTTGTTTTTTAGCCTTTTTGGGTCATCCCTTGCTGCTGGACTGTCAGTCTCACTGATGCCAGTGTGACTGATTGTGCCATTTCTACTCCCTGCTCCTAATTTGCTGCTTCTCATCTGAAACGAGCTTGGAAATCAAATACTCAAGCTCGCTGTGGTTGTTGTCATGATTATTATTGTTAAAGATGTGTGTAAACAGAGAGCAAAGGGCTCTGTGTGAGGGCTTGCCAGGGTCTCCATGGCTAAACTGTGCAAGAGACAAAACACATATATGTTGTGAACTCCTAGTTCAGCCTCTCTGAAGCCTTTTCAATTTAATTCCTATTCTTACTTTTCTGGTCTGAAAATAAAACTTTCTGGAAATGTATTTTTCAGTAAAATTAGGAATTTAGTCATGTATTCGACAAGGATTCATTGAGTGCTTACAAAGTGCAACGTACATGCTAGGTGCTGTAGGATGGTCGTTCAAAATGGATACTCTATGTCCAGCTTGCTCTCTGTTTTCTGTATTGCACTAGCACCTAGTAGGTACTCAATAAATATCTGCTCATCAATGAAATGAACTTTATAATCTGAGAATATACAAGATATTGACACACATACACACACAAACAAGTTTACAATGTAAGCTGTAGTAAGGACCAGAATAAAAATACAAAAAAAGTATACACAAGGACCAAAAGATTATTTCCTGCTGGAAAATCCAGAAGGACTTCATGG